ATATCACCACACTGTCAGGGGTACAACTTGGTCTCAGGTCAGATATGACTTTCAAGGCAAACCAGACAGCTCCTATACAACGTTTTATAGTGGTATTGTTGATGCAACCAACTTGTATTTGCCGTTACGCTCAACAGCACTACTTGCATTCGTAATCAGTAGGTTTTCGAGCCTATTAGTTGTGGGGGCTGAGGCCCAGGCGAGGTCAAAACTGCAGTCTATCCTGGATGAGAATTCAATTTGAGAGGCAAACCTAATTGAACTCCAATGACATCCTGAAGCCTACTCATTGTATTGTGAGAGGAAGATACTATCACCATCTTTAGCGACCTAGAGTGACTACACTTTCTCATTTAGAACTTACTTATAATCATTATGATTTACTATCTGTCATCCACTAAAAGTCTGATGCATTCTGCCTTCACTACGTGTGCGTGTGTGTGTATGAGTAAAGTGAAGGTCTACAGGCGGTCTATGCATATAGGATGTTGAGGTTAGGAAACCTGAGGGCTTATGCTAGGGCTGGGGGCAAAGAGGATTGCGAAATGGAATGCGAAATTGCGTCAGGAAGCGAGGGCTCCAACATACTCCAGTTGCTAAGACATCAAGAAACCACGAGCATAAGCCGTAAGTAAACACACTAATGTGCCCAAACAAACACACAGATAAACGCAATCACAAAAACAAACACACACATACACTGATACACTGACAACGACAGTTAAAGATATACATGAGCTGTGCTAAAAGAGGACAGATTTCGTGTTGATGTGAGCGGTGCATCGGTCCGGCAAGCAAGCCTGAGCAGTCAAGCGAAGGAGGCTTCAGGTAGCAGGTTAAGACAAATAGATTTGAGAAGGATCATCCTACGGGGCGATGTAACAGTTTGGCATGAATAACCTGACTCAGGTGGGTTAAAAGGGCTGTACCACAGCGTCCTGTGGAGAGGCAAACGGAGGTCTAAATGGCGGAGAGGCGAGTGAACGCGTGAGTGGAGCGAAGGTGGCGAGGAAAGTGAGGAGGATGCAAAGAGGCGTCGAAGTTGACGAGAGAAGGGAAGATCGGACGGAATAGGCGGAAGAAATGTGTACAATTTCCGCTTTGCCCAATCAGCCTTCGGCCGAAAACACACCGACAGGTTGCTGATCATCACATCTCCAATATCCTCTTGGCTAGAGGCAAATTAGCCCAGTGTCCAGGGCACCGGGACGAGCAGTATATGGTTGCTGATTGGGAACAGGCTAATTCGTGTTATTATTAATTAGTCGAGCTGAGGGGAAATAGGCATCTTGCTAACACCTCTTTCGGCCAAGGAAACAGTTGCTGGAGGATTCGAGAGTAATTAGCGAATTGGACCCGCAGATTCTGGCCTCTCGCATTTGCAAACTTCCGCCTTACCACTACAACTCCAGCTTCATGGTAGTGTGAACGCGGTAGCCGTAGGGCCGCTTTTTCATGAGGTGAGGCTCAAAAAGTATTCTTGTCCACCAACTAACCAGGGCTATCTGTAGAAAAGCCATAAAGTTGGGCTGATCAGATGGCAGCAACAAATCTTGGGAAGCCCCTTTGATCATCCTCTTATTCCCATCAAATTTATGTACACTAGGACTTGTTAGACTGTGAAATAGCCGAAGTTCACCGATTTACAGGCCGGTTGTAAGGACTGCGCTGAATAAAAGGCTTTCAATGATGTCTCCAGGGCCTGAAAAGGAGCAAACTTGAATTCGGCCGATCCAAGTTGGCAGACAGTTTAAGTTGAACTCTATGGTGCAGCAACACTTACAAAGTAAGGCGCATTTTGATGTTCCGAGATCCTTTCGGCCAAACCTCGACAAGAATATACTATGAATCATAGCTGCCGTAGGGATATGTGCAGTTAAGCCTTTCTCCATCGGTTCATCATTGGACTTGTTAGTGAGACTTTCATTTCATAATAAATGACAGAATGAGGAGATTCGTAGGTCGATCTTACCAGAAAACGACTGGTTCTGCAGCTTGTTGGCGTTAATACAACGCTTAGGTGACGTAGTTCACGAAATGCCCTCCTTCATTTCGGGGGGAAGCTAGCTGAGCCATTGTCCGTCATACAGCATAGCAGATCTTGTCAGAGCTGGAACACATTATTGCAAAATCTTTCGGTTATTACTAAGTCAAGAATACTATCCGGCTTTATCCTGCATGCTATATATACTCATATCAAAAAATAAAATAGATAGATAGAGATTGATAGATATAGGATTATTTGTTTATTTATTTTTCATATCAATCAGGGTACTAATACTTGTGTGTGTGTGTGTGTGTATGTACTTTATAAACGATGGTATTGCATATTACGATTTGCACAAAGACATGTGCCAATACATGCAAACACACAGACACCCACACTCAAGTATAGGTACAAGGATTGATCCAAAATAGAAGTAACCAAATCATTATATATCTATTCATATATATTTTTCGCCTGTAAAGCATGTAGGATAGTAATACTTGAATGTCTCTGTATGGTGAGTGGTTGGTGCGTGTGTTACCATCTGTACAAGTGTAAATCAGAGTACGCATTATCGGCCGTAACTCAAAGTACTTACAAAAAGCCAGTATTACATATTCAGACTTACACACGTAGAGAACACACATAGACACACTCCTACTCGGGATAGATATGAAATCATTTTCTATCTTTCTTCCTTAGTTATGAGTCTATATAGCATGTGGAATAGCCCCGGATAGTCCTCTTAACTTAGTATTAACTTGAAACTTTTGTAAGAGTGAGTCTTAGCTCTAATGAGGTCTGTCAAATGACGGACGAAAGCTTAGTCCTGTCTCACTTGAAAAAAGAGTGAATGCCTCGTAGACTGTTTCAGCCTGAATGTCTTATTAAAGCCACATGGCTGAAGTAAACTGAGAATCAGCCGTCATCTTATCATGAGATCGCCTTCTAAACACTTCATCATTCACTTTCCTACGAGATGAAAATCTCCAAAGCAATGCTATTCTAGGCGGCTTATAGAAATTCGCTTATATACATTGCACTTGTTGAAAGATCCCATTACGTAGGTTATCCCACAGACTTCCTTAAGGAAGAAGAGAAAGAAATTCTTAACAAGCACGGATTTTTATTCTTGGACGAAATGGGAAAATTAATGAGTATGAATTCGCTATTCAGGTGCGGTTAGTTAGGTTTTTAAAGCCCGTCTCAGACCACAAGTCCTGAGACCGAAAGATAAAACCTTCTAATGCCTTTCAGAAACAGAAGTTAAATTAAAAGTTGTTTGACCTTGTTTTCGAAACTTGGTCATATTGGTAGGAAGACTTAGAGCAGCACACCTAGTCCGGAGTCCATTGTATGCATAATCATTTATAAAGTCAAACCGTTGACGTGGTACATTCCAGTTAAATTAGTTTTTGCAACACCAATTGATATGAAACATGAGAAATCTCTCTGATCGACAATAGGCTGATACAAGAACGCCAAACCTGAAGCATTGATGATAAACAATTGAGGTTATGGCTTTTTAGCGAGACCAGCAATGAATGATTGGCTTTTCCGAATGCCTACATATCCCAAATAAATCCACTTGACACTAAATGCTAATGCTACTACTACCATTAATATAAGTAATAAAGTATTTGAGTCCAGTATGGGCATCCTATGTTTAATGCATATATGAGACTAAGCTTTATCTATTTGCATATTTCTTGTCATGTGCATGATTCCCAAAGTAGTCATGAGAATTTACCCCGTCAGACAATTGGCTTAGCACATTCTTGTTCAAATTTGAAAACGTATAATTTCATTTTAAACAGCGGCCTCATCATGTGAGTAGTATTGTGTGCCATTTGAATTTAACTTATTTTGTTTTCTCATTTTCACTTCCATACAGGATGGCATAAAACATCTTTATCGTAGCTTTTTTGACCATCGTCTAAGGCTCTAGCAAAGCAACATGGAGGGACTGGTTCGCATGCTAGGTGGGTATGCAAGGTGAAGATAACCTTTTCCTAAAAGTTTTAATTAAGTCTTTGCTCTTCGTGATTAGAAGAGTATAAGTTGGCTTAGTAAGCCGCTGCTTACTTAAGGAACGCTTTATCCATGTCCTGAGTTCTACTTCACACATGTTCTTGCTCCGTTTGTGCTTACAGAAGCCGAACGAATATAGGGGCAGTGTCTGCCTATGGTAAAGAGTGTGTCTGAAATCCAGTCGGTTATCAAGTTTCCTATGAACTCATCGTTGGCAAACCGGAATCCTACACTGTTCCAGTTATAGTTTACAATGAACTTTCATATTTCCCGATATCGTACTCTGAGAATGTCTGTCACAAGAGAGGCAGAAGCTCAGCACGAAAAGTGAACTGAGAACTTATTTTCACAAATCTACAATCATAACTACTCCGAATTGGGTCATGCAAATTAGTGAATATCTTCCATCTGTCGTTTAAAATGAAGCAAAACTTGCATCAACAGGAATTTATTAAGGAATTCTCCAACATCCAGCATCCCTTCATATCTGCTGACTTTCTTGTTTACCTGCTGGAGGGCCTTAGTTGTTGATTTCGGCGGTGTGGAACTGGCATCAAGAGACTGTGTATTTTAATGAATAGTCTGATTGTTAATTACTTTACTGATTTTATTCCGAAGTGAAAGTATGAGGTGACGAAATGGGCTTGGCTGACACTGGCACGTTCGTGCTCACATTATCCTCCGATCAGTGTCCCTCGGCTTCGACGAGAACGTGCTGAATTGATGCTCACCTTTTGCGATGTCTATCATCAACCACAGTGGGTGCATTCAGTTTTTTTTCTCCTATAAGATCGAGCCGCGAATCTCTTAATCCCGCACTTTCACACGAAGCAAGAGACATGCAGGTAGCCCAAAAGAAGAACTGTGCGTTGGTGTTGTTTCAACCATATACACCTTAAACAGAAACCGATGAAAAGCGAACAAGGAAACCGAGACAGACATAAAAGTGATGTTTCAAATGAAAAAAATTTCAATCATAAAACAGACTCATCTGCTTAAATATGGGCTTCTCCCATTATGTCATGTATGCATCATTCTCAGCCTGGCCAGACTTATTTGATTGCTCAACTTCGTGTCGCGAACATTCCACCCACTTCCCTTCAGTCTATATTACCCATCCAGTCATGTCCATCAAGCTTCTTCCCCACATCCTCCCCCACCTCTTGCGCCCGCCTCCTTCACCAGATCATGCATGACATCCTTGCCAAGGTCCTCAGAGTCTGCCGGTTTCCGTGTCCGTTGACTCTTCGCTCTCGTCGCGACATAACCCTCTTCGCCAGAGACCGGCATGATACTGTACGTCAAGTTTGCGGAAAAGAAGTTGGGGGCGGAGTGAAGCGGGGGAAAGACAGACGGACTGGAGAGAGATCAAAGTCAGGCCAATTACACAGTTGCCCACACGTGACCCTCATCTGGACGACGAGTGAACCAAAAATGGTCACGAAATTATCTCATCCCAAACTTTCGCCCTCATGTTCTCAAGCACCCTCTTCTAGCGGCGTTGCCGAAGGCGGCAAAATGTTATAGATCACGCACTTTCAGGTGACCAGCAGATTTGGAACAGACGCATGATCATTCAATCATGCAATCTTCTTAGAACTTAACAGGCCGTCATCAACACAATAAAAGGCGACAGAATATGCTTTTCGCAGTCGAAATGGCGGGAAAGCTATTTCATAATTTGTGTTCCGTTGTAGCGACAGTCATTCTGTCCTCCCATCAATTCAACTTGTAATCGTTGCTCTTATCAAACCCTCACTCTGAGGGAAAATTGATTCATCTTCTTGGGAGGATGTCAAAAATGGCATTTAAAGATACATTTTCCACGATGGAGTGAAGACCAGGGAATCGTCTTTTGGTTTGCGTACACTCAAGTGTATACATCCACGTGCCTATCGCTTGCATACAGCCTGAACTATCCAAACCCTTCTATACCTCATATAAATGCATAGGTTTAAAGTGTGCCAGGTGGGATTTCCTGACTCATCAGTTTGAATAAGTTGTATGAATAATAACCAGCTCTGTTGTCTGTCAAATGACAGAGTGTAGAAGACAGTTTCTGTTCAAGTGATATAATTGTTGAGCTTACTTCCATTTCGAGTAGAAGTGTTGGGTGAAGAGATTCGAAAGTCGATTCTACCGGAAT